TTTTCTTTTGATCCTTACTTTTCCCTAGTTATAACTTGAAATTTGTTCGTTTGAGCATATTTGTTAAATAAATGGCTTATTCAATTTTTTTTCCAGGTCAAGCATATTTGATGCTAAGGCTGGCATTGCACTTGGTGCTTCCTTTGTTAAGCTGGTTTCGTGGTATGACAACGAGTGGGGTTACAGGTACTAATAATAGTGCTGATTCCTAGTCTACTTCTGAAACTAGAAGTTTCTGTTCATGCTGACCTTTAAATGATATATTTTTTAATGGTTTGCGTTGCAGCAATCGAGTGTTGGACCTTATAGAACATATGGCATTGGTGGGAGCTCACAATTGAACACCAATATTTTGCATGTGTTGCAATTCTTGTTGAATTAGGTTAATATTTGTGGCGGCCTAGGTTCAGATTTTGGTTTTGATCTGATTTTTATAAGATGCGTGGTTAAATGATCACATCATGTACACTGAAAAAAAATAAAATAAAGAAGGACGTTGTCCTGGTTAATGTTTGGATTTGTCAGCAATGAATTTTACAAACTGCCTTTTAAAATGAATGATTTATATTGGCCTAGTCTGATAGGACAACAAATTGTTTAACAATACGTTGTTGCAAATTTTGTTGACTTAGGTTAAATATTGTAATGACTTAGGTTTTCAGATATTGGTTTTATCTGGTTTTATAAGACGTGAGGTTAAATGCTCATATCATGCACACTGAATATAAAGGGTGTTGTCTTGCATGTTTTGTAATTGCTGGGGGTGTGCACGGATCCGGATTCTGAAAAATCTGATGAATTCAAACCGAAAATTCGGATTGTATTAATCGGATAATGGATTATGGATTTTGATGTTGATATCGGATCTAATCGATCAATTATTATATATTATTGTTTTTTATATTATTTTAATTTTATAAAGAATTTAAATGTGCTAGGAAATAAAATGGTTTGGGGTTTGGACTTAAAAAGACTTGCTAAACTTTCCATCTATTTTTAATATTATAGTACTTCACTCCATAGTCCACACAACTTATAAATATATACTTTCATTCTCTATCAAGTGTTAAAGTTTAAGTATATGTAGGTTACATGCTTTTAGTTACTCATGTTTTTTTAATTGCAATTGTATTTAATACAAGTGAATTTAAAAAGATAAATTTTAAGTTTTGAATCAATAAGAAAAAAGATATGTAATTGGATTGATTTGGTTTGAATTGTAAAAAGGAATTTGAGAAATTTAATTTAAATTAATTCAATTAATCATAACGGATTCTATGTCATACGTACTTCTAGTAATTGTCAACAAAGAATTTTACAAATTTAAATGATGAACAATTTTTAGGTGAATGATTTTATTTTCGCTAGTCCAAAAAAACTAGCTTATAAAAATGTGTTTGGTAAAATTAGTTTATAAAATAGTTGAAAGTTTATAAAGTAACTAAAAATTTATAAGTTTACTCTATCCTAAAATTGCTAAACACATTCTAAGAAAATATGAATATCTAACATTGATGGATTTATTTTACAAGAATTAAGATGAGATAAAAAAAATATTTGCAAAGGACTTAAAATATTAATATATATATATATATATATATATATATATATATATATATATATATATATATATATTAATATATTTGTTGGATCATATGCATATTGATTACTATAAATGTAAGAGTTTGATGGAAGAGCATGGGTCAAAGGCCCAACCACTAGAGCTATGGCCAGGAGACTATTTGAGGATTTGACTGCTTCAGAGATTAGTGGGCCCAATGGGCTTGGTAGGCTTAGGGGGCTTTTCATATGGACCTTACTTGAATAAACACCATGCCTTGTTGTATAGGAATTTACTTTGATTTTGGTATTGTATTTTGACCATAGACTAGGTTTAATGCTCTTGGGCTTATATTTGGGTTTCTTAGACTTTGGGTTTTTAATACCCAATATTAGGCTCATTCTTCTTCTTGTATTATTTTCTTTTCATTGTATTCCTTAGACCATTGTATTTTGGTCATTACGACAAAGCCAACACGTGCCGATTCCACTAAAACAGGGGGCACTCAACTGAAGAATGCTCGGCGCTAAAAGACAAACTCGAGGACCTCATCAAGCAAGGCCACCTCAGAAGCTTTGTCACCCTCCAAGACCACCAAGCAAGAGGGAGAGATCGCTCTCACGAAGCCCATCAGCCGAGAGACCGACGCCGCCGATCCCATTCAGTAAGAGTGTATAATGACATCAATTGCGTTAACCCTAATTTCACTTCAAACAATTATATATAATATATTTTTTATTTTCATGTTTACTCTGGGCTGAAATATGTAACAATAAGATTTGCAATTGGGCCGCGAAAAAAAGCAAAAACCCAGTTGCTCCAGAGTCGAGAAAAAAAAAAAAAGGATATTCCATTTTGATTCGTAAAGGCAAAGAGTGCATTTCCAGGGGTTTATCCAGAACCAGTCCATTTGACTCTTTACAGTTCCTCTTCACTCTGTACTAACTTCTCCGTTTCTGAGTTTTCTCAGGGTAATCATTTACCATCTTTCGCAATTCCCATTTTACTTGCCTTGGGTTGCTATGTTGGGTTATTTTCTGCTTTTTTATTAGTTAATGTTCGTTTCTCTAAGTGGGTCTAGTCCTTTTTTGTTCATTCTAATAAACCCTGTTTCGTATTCTGTTGATCCATGCTTTTGAAAAATAGAATCTTTGCTGCTTGGAGTTTGGAAATTGGGTTATTGACTCCATGAATTATATTTACTTGCTTCAGGAACTCTCTACTTTATTCTAAATTAAAGTGCAGTGCAAATGAGTGGATTTTAAACAAGAGCAATCATTTTTATCCCCTTTGTCTGAAAGGTTATAGTAAACCTAACCCTTTCAAGAACTTTAGGAAGTGAAAGATTGATAAATTGAAGTGGTCACTGGTCAGGATTATAGTGTTCAATGTTTTGAGATTATTAAATATGGGTGATTTGAGCTCTTCATAGTGATTTAATACCCTAGCCAGTTGGTATTCCTCTCTCTTTCTCAACTAAAGTAATTTATATCTGAGCTTATCAACCATTTCTCTATGTTGGTCTGGTCCTTGTGTTGATTTTTGTTTGTGACATTTATTTTGTGTTGATGCATGCTCATGATATTTCTAGTCTTTACTATTGGTTACTTGTTTTTTATTTACTATGTTGGAAACCAAGAGTCCTTGAATCATTATAACTTGCTTGATGAAGTAAGTATTTTAATATTATTCAAAGCAAAGTGCAAGTGATGGGATATTAATTCTTGTTTCAGGAGTGTGCTCAAAGTAGTTAGAGGATCGTCTGATTGAGATGGCTCAATTACTATCATCTTCTTGCTCCTTGACTATCTGCTCTAGAAATAAACCTTACTTAAAATCTTTTAATCAATGTTCAATGCCATTTTCCATCACGGTTGCTACCAATATTTCCAAACCTACACTTAGAAGGCTTTTCTTGCAAGAACAGAAGCGAAGGAAAGGTTCTGTAGTAGCACATGCTGCTTCCATTTCAACTAGCCAGAAAACACCTGTTCAAACTAGCTCTGGTGACCCTTCTAAAGCACAGCGAGTCATGGTCATTGGTGGAGATGGATACTGTGGTTGGGCAACTGCCCTTCACCTTTCTAACAAGGGTTATGAGGTTGCCATCGTTGACAGCCTTGTTCGGCGCCTATTTGATCACCAGCTTGGACTGGATTCTCTAACACCAATTACCTCAATCCAGAATCGCCTTCAATGTTGGAAATCTCTCACTGGAAAAAATATTGAGCTCTACATCGGTGACATATGTGATTTTGAGTTCTTATCTGAAACCTTCAAGTCATTTGAACCCGATGCTGTTGTCCACTTTGGGGAACAGCGATCTGCTCCATACTCTATGATAGATCGGTCAAGAGCTGTGTATACCCAGCAAAACAATGTTATTGGGACACTGAATGTGCTCTTTGCCATAAAAGAGTACAGAGAGCAGTGTCATCTAGTTAAGCTTGGGACCATGGGCGAATACGGGACCCCAAATATTGATATTGAGGAAGGTTATATTACCATTACTCACAACGGAAGGACAGACACGTTGCCATATCCCAAGCAAGCTAGCTCATTCTATCATCTAAGCAAGGTACATGATTCACATAACATAGCTTTTACTTGCAAAGCTTGGGGGATTCGAGCTACTGATCTGAATCAAGGAGTGGTATATGGGGTAAGAACAGATGAGACAGCATTGCATGAAGAGCTGTATAACAGGTTTGATTATGATGGAATATTTGGAACTGCATTGAATCGGTTCTGTGTTCAGGCTGCTGTTGGTCATCCACTTACTGTATATGGTAAAGGAGGCCAGGTAACATACCCATCCTTTTGTCTATTTCTTATTGATAAGCAAATGATTGACTTTTGATGATTGTTAAAGGACACAAGTTTTGCAATATTTCAATCAGGATGTGTTTAGATATGTGTATTGTCAATTAATCCACTGGAGAAGAATCAAAGAGCATTGGTGAAGCTTCTCTGAGGCGTCTCCACATATTTCTTTGAAACTTAACAGTAACTATGTTAAACAAGTCCCGATTTTTGGTTTCTTGGTAACTTCATGTTGTATCTGTTGCAACTCTAGATATCTAATAGTTATTGATAATAACTGTGATTAGCCGCGGCTATTATTATACAGTTTTAAATATTGAATTTACTCATTGCCTTGTGCCATTGAGATTCCAACTGCACGGATTGATTCTGTTTTTGCTCTTCTTTCTTTTAGTTCTCCTTAATTAGTGGAATTGATCTGTGTTTATGAGACAATTTTATTTTATTTTTTTTAATTTTTATTTTATATGTTGTTCTTATGATAACTTAGTATTTTATAATGCACATATTTCAGACTAGGGGCTTCCTGGACATAAGAGATACAGTTCAATGTGTTGAGCTTGCCATCGCAAACCCTGCAAAGCCGGGGGAATTTAGAGTCTTCAACCAATTCACTGAGCAGTTTTCAGTCAATCAACTTGCCAGCCTTGTTACAAAAGCTGGTGAGAAGCTTGGCCTTGATGTGAAAACTATACATGTGCCTAACCCGAGAGTTGAGGCAGAAGAACATTACTACAATTGCAAGAACACTAAACTAGTTGATTTGGGATTGAGACCACACTTTCTTTCAGATTCTCTCCTTGATTCACTGCTCAACTTTGCTATTCAGTACAAAGATCGTGTTGACACAAAACAAATTATGCCTAGTGTGTCTTGGAAAAAAATTGGTGTCAAAACAAAAACTGTTACAGCCTAAGAAAGATGGATATGGCTGATGGCATAACTGTATGTCCTGGATGATGTCTTAGGTTATGCTTCATTGCCGTGAATAATTAAATTTTCTGTATTATAGAGTTTTTATGCTATAATCCATCTTTGTGAAACCGTTGTAACCGCCTTATGTAGAGTACATTTTTTTGCTTAAGCATTTCCACAATATGAACCTAGGTAATGCTTTTTTGTTTTAGGTGTTTGAGCATTTGGAATTATATTGTACGGCCGTAATATCAACAACAATGTATTTGTCAAATAGGCAACATGTGGATATGGCAACTAATGATGGTAATTTTATATTTTCAATACATCGTTAACGTATAATAAATCTAATATGAAGAACATCCAACGGACTCTTGAAAATATTGATTCAGCGACATTTATTCTCCTTCAACGTTTGTTACTGAAGGAATAAGAAGACATTCTGGTTTAGGAAGAACCGAAGGAGGGCATTGGTTTCAAAAGTTAAGAAGAAAGTGAATTAGACTGGGTTACTGGTAGTGGTTAGTTAAAATATAGCACTTTTCATGCACAAACAATTATATGGATCATTAAACGGTAGTCTACCAGGTTAAAGTTTTTTATTTGACTTAATATGTCATCAAGTTGTGATTGAATTGATTTTTTAAACAAATAGTTTGTGCATTTTAAAAATATGTTTGAAATTGTCACGCTTTGAAGTTGTTTCAAAAGGAATTAAAACTTGATCATCCAAACTTGAAGAAATTCCTACACATTCGCCATTCATCAAAGGATTGAATAGGCATCAAGCAAGTTCTTGGTTGTTTTGTTCCAATTGCATATTTTGTTCTGCTTTCTTTAATTTATGCATTCGCATTCTTGCAGTGTTATTTACTTTCCATTTTATTTTCGAGATATTTGCCTTCAATGTAATTTACTTGCTTTTCACTTACGTTCTAGTATTCTTATTTCAAATTTTAATTTCATTTTTTTACTTAGTATATATGGATCCAGAGAGTATTACATAAGTAATAAAAGAACAATAAATGCGGAGGAATCTAATGAGCAATCAATAGGAACAATCATGTGACGACATTAATTAAGTGCAAAAAATATTTGAAAGTATGATTTAAACAATTGCGGAAGGTTGGTTCACACATGGATGATAAAAATATCCGCACTTATGAGTATTTGCGGGTAAAATAATATAACAATAACTTTTACAAATTAATATAATACTCAACGGAATTACCAATTTAATATAATTTCAACATAATGGAAAACCCCCAATTGTTCCAAAACCTAGCTCACAAGCACTTTTCTACAGTTTCGTTCTCCCTCTCAGATCATCATTCTTACAAATTAAATACATATTTCTAATCCTCAACACATACAGAACCTAAGGGAATCATCAATTTCTCAAACAGAAATAATCCAATTTTTTTCCAAAACCTAACTTACAGGCACTTTTCTATCATTTCGTTTTCTCTCCCAGAGCATCATTTTTACAAATAAAATATATGTTCATAATCCTAAATTCATACAGAATCAAATAAGACCAATAATTCTCCAAACAGAAATAATTATAAAATTGCTCATAATCCTAAGGGATTCTACCTCTACCCAATTCCCTCATGTAACTCTACATATAAATAATTTCATTTTCCCCCGTACCTGGATAAACAGCAGATGAATTAAAATAGGAATCTCTTGGTCTCCTACTCTAAGTGCCCCTCGGTCTTCAGAGAGAAGAAGAGGGAAAGAAGAGAGAATAGAAGAGAATAGGGAGAGAGAATGAGAGACGTGTGAAAATGAGAGGTGAGGGGTTAGTCTGTAGTCTGTACTTAAAGTTGAAGATTCAGTTTTGAATGATAAATGCATAAAAAATTATCGACACTACTTGGTTGCGTTTAAGGATGAAAGAAAATTTGATTGAAGGAAGGGAACCAACATATTTTATATATTATTGTTTGATTTTGAAAAAGAGGAAAAAATGTACATTGTTGGATTTGTTAGGTTGAAAAAAGGAAAATTATAAGTAATATTATTTTATTTTTATTATTACTAATAGAAGCAGTAAAAATTAATGCAAATATAAGGGGTGTATTGGATTGAGATTTTAGCAAAAAAACAGTCTTGTGAATTTTAAAAGATTTTGTGAAAATTTAATAACTTTAAAGATTTTTTCAAAAGACTTTATAAGAATGTAATAACTTTTAAGATTTTTTTTAGAAGGTTTTTGTAATCAAAATTTTGTAATACGGATTTTAATGAATTTGTATCTAAGAATTTATAAGCTCTGAAATGGTTTTATTAGATTTCAAAGGATTATAAATTTTTAAAAATACACTACAATTAACAAAAAAGATAACATAAATGACAAGGTTTGAATAAAGAAAATAAAATCAATAAATTTTTTAATCTTTTTATTTTATTTTTATAAACAATTGATTTTGGTTTCATGTCATCTTAAATAATATTTCTCTTCATACAACTTTCTATGCATTTATATTTTCTCATTCATATTATTAAATTTGAATAATATGTTCAAATTTATCATATTCATTAACATGTAGAATTGTTAAAATATATTTTTTATATATATTTAAAATTTTGATATTTCTGTATTAAATTTTATTGTAGAAAAAGAGAGAAGCCAAAAAAAAAAAACAAGAATAAAAAAAAAGAGAGAAACAAATTTTTTTTAATAGTCCTAATTGAATACCACTTGATTTTGATGTATTCTTAAAATAATCTTATTTGTCTTAATTATATATTACATGACTTTTTATTTTTTAATCTTCTTAAAATTTCTCATTTTTTTATGACCTTAATTTTCCCCACATCTTTTCATAATGTAAATATCTCAATCATTTGGTTGAAAATGATTTAAATTAATATTAGTTAATAGAAAAAATAAAATTTTACTGCACATATACCATGGGTGATGTAGTTTTGATTTTAGTGATATTAAATTATTTTTTGTATATAAGAGGTGTTTTCTTTCCTCTCTCTTCTAGGGCAAATTTTTTCTCTCTCTCAATGATGTGAGATAACATCTAATGTGAAACACAATTGATAGAGAAAAATATAATAAAAATTGAGTATCATAATTCATATTATTTTCTTGAGTAAATCATACTTGATAAGATATACAAGTATTACAATCTCCCTTTTTTATAATTAGTTCACTTTTGAGTGATCTTATAGGTTTGCATTAGAGTAGTTTCTTACTCAGGAGAGGAGAGGTATGACAAATAATGCAATTATTATTTACAAGATGCATAAGTCTAATAAGAAAAGGGGATGTACCTTATATAAAATCTATTTGAAAAAAGTGTAATCATGTTAGTTGGAATTTCTTGTGGAATTTTTTTTTAAAATTTTGAGATTCCATTTATCATTTTTTCTTTGATAATGTATAATGTTATCTCTTCTTCTTTCTCCCTTATTTGAAATAGAATAAAACTTCTAAACTTCAAGTCCATTAGACGACCCAGGTGAAGAAACCTCCTATCCTCTTACCTTTTTGTCATTTACAAGATTTAGACACCAAAAAATATTTATTCACTATAAAAATTAATTTAAATAGTAGTTTGGAGATTGAATAAAGTTGCTTTTAAATCAATATCTATAATCATTAAAAATTGAAATCTAATTAGAAACCACATTTTAAGGGGATAATGGCTTAAAAGATTATTTATTTAATTAGAGACAAATTATTTTTACTACCATAATAAAATAGATTACTAATCAATCATAATAAAATGCGTTACTAAATAATTACTATTAACATTGGTCATTAAATAATTTATTATAATATTGATCATTACAAGACTAAATCATCCATCATAAAATGAATTAGTAAATTAGTCATCATAAAATTGTTAATGAATAAATTGTTGTCAAAAGTAGTCATTATGAAATGGATCATTAAAAAAAACATTATAAAATTGATCTTTCATTATAAATTGGTTTCTAAATCTATTAAAAAATTGGTCACTAAGTCTGTCATTATGAAATTAATCAACTAGTCTTAATAAAATCAGTTATTAAATCAAATTTTAATTTAGGTATAGATTGATCTTCAAAATCAGTAACTAGTGGTTGACCTACTTTTTAGATCAACATCTAATCTAATCACTGATTGATATAGTGATCGATTTTGTTAGTTTAGAAACCAATAAATTGGTCTAAATAAGACATTTTCATGTTGTTGTCATCTACATGGAAAAATTATCTTTGACTATTACTTTTGCAGGTCATGCTAGTAAATAGAAGTCTATACAAACTGGAAAAGATAGTATTACCATCTCCCACTTTTGTTTTTTCCTTGACGTCCATCTTTTTATCAATACAAAAAATTCTCAAGCTTGTATGGTAGCCACTATATTTTCCTATTTTAGTTAGATTCTAAATTAAAAGTTAATTTGGCCAAATCTAGGTTGTTTTTCTCTAGAAGATCTCCTTGTTAAACAAACTTTTTTCATTAGGAAATATTTGGATTTTTCAAGAAGGAAGACTTTATGTTCATTGCAGAGAAAATGCAACTCTGATTAGTGTCCTATAAACAAAATTTACTAAATAAAACACTCACATGGCCATTGACATTATTTACTGTTAGAAAATATTATTAGAAAAAGATTGAAAGATAACTATGTAGTACGACACTAGTCATTATTTTAAAAGTAAATTTTGAGAGATCTCTAGCATAATTTAAAATCTGATTTACTCTTTAAAATTTACATAATATCGTGTTTGAATTTATGCATTCAAGATCAAAATATGTTAGATTCTGATGGAATCATTCTTTGGAGAGCAAGAGGTGATATACTCAAAGATCCAAGAGGAGTGGGCTAGATATGGAAGATTGGGCCCGTCAAGGCCAAATGGGCCCTATGGGCTTGGAAGGCCCATACCAAGTTTCAACATGGGCTTATCTTGATTTGAAGATTCTTATTATATTTTGTTAGAATAGTTTGAATATATTTTGGTCTTGTATTTTGGACCACATAGAATAGCATTTTAGGTTTTAGGCTTATTGGGCCTAGTTTAGGGCTTCATTGGCCTTTGGGCTTTTGGTACCCAATATTGGGCTCATTTTCATTCTTGTAATTTTTCCTTTCCATTGTATTTGTTGGACCATTGTAATTAGGTCATTAGAGTAGGATTTAAGGAGGATTATTAGTTTAAGAGGATTAGGCAAAATTAGGTTTAATTTAGCATGCATTTAAGTTGCATTTTGAGTCACATGGATCATGCCACCTTGGCTGAACATGTGTGACTTAAATTCAACCCTAAATTCACACTAAATCAAAGCCA